GTGTCAAATTCCGGAGATATCAGTTTAGGACACATTTGATCGGCGTGTATTATAATTTCGAATCATATCTTAACGTAAAATGCGACGACGTGATTTTTTTCTACATCTACAGAGAACTGTAACAAATAACAGAAATCAAATCACTAGCGGATTTTCAACATCAGCAACAACTAAAATGGATAGCATATCTAATTCGAAGAGAAAAAAAACGATATTATGACACTATGGACACCCGCATAGAAAGGGAAGACGTTGTTTTATCTCGATCTGAAGTCTTTCTGTTTCAAAAACCAACTGATATTTCCTTATCGGTCTTCTAAGCAACATCAACTTTGACTGAAGGGCAATTCGGAAATAAAGGAATAGACGAGAGATATTCGGCGATCACCGGGTGCTGGTCTATATTTACAGCCATGCTTGGGATTGGGGAGAGGTTCACACTTGGCAGAAGACGGACGTGTCCGCCGTGCGGTCCCGAAGCCTTCATTTCGTATTGCAATCCCGATGAGTAAATGGGTGAGAATTTGGTAGGGAAGGGAGCTGACATAACAGAATTTATCCCAAATATCACCTGACTACCTGGCTGAACGAGCATGCGAAGCCCTGAATAAAACACCTACATTATAATTCGCGCTCTTATGCCTCGACGTGGCGTTTGTCTTTTATCATGCTAAATTCTGAACATGCATCGCTCCTTTTCCCAGCTCTCGATGAACACGGACGAGATGCAGACTCGGAATGCAAGTATGGTCGGTATTGGCTGATTGGTGGAAAGCTTAGACGAGGGTTGCTTTGTATGTTTACAACCAAAAATTGAATTTCCCTAAGAAAGGGAGCTCCCATCAATAATGGAAAAAGTAATAACAGTTACTGAACTTGAGAAACTTGTTTTCCTGAAAAGAATTGTTTAAGGGAAAGATTTTGTAAATTTCAACGGAAGGTAAAACTGGCTATTGTCTCAATGAATGCCGAATATAAGGAAACAAATAATATTACCATTATCACGAGAGATCAGAGGAACAGATACTACACTTTCATCCAAGCCCGATGGCCAGGATGTGGAGAAAAGCGCAACTCTTGTAGCACTGTCTGTTCGGTAAATTAATGCTGAATGTGTCCTTTTTAGGCTAATGCTCGCCCAATAAAAGGCCCGAGTGCCACTCAAGGTAAACGGTTACTGTGTGGTGTTGTCTAAGCCTAAGAGAGAGAAACACGTGAATTTAATGAGGCTATGTAGGAAAGATAACGGTTAACCCTAGTCTTGAAGAGGTCAAGATTATAGTGATTGGGATAGCATCCTACCACAGAACCACAGTTTTTGGAAGAAGCTTTTCGAATGGAACTTACTTCTTACTATAAGAATACGAAGGGCAAAGACAACGATTTACCCTAAACTTGAGAAGGTCAAGATCATGAAGATTGGGAAAGCATCCTGCCGGGAGTCTGTTTCACAAAACAACAATTTTTTGGAAGAAGTTTTCCGAATGAAAGTTCTTATTACAAATACAAAGATTTGCCCCTTTTTTACGTGATATGGCGGGTCCCAGTTGTAAAGGTAATGGGTGGTGTGAAAGAGGTTATAGGATGGAAATTAATTCATCACCCAGAAGACCGCGTTTTGAACTTTATCAAGTAAGGAAACTGATAATATTGCCATTACCATTCTAGCTGCTAAAGAAAAAAAAACAGCCGGGAGTTTAGATGTAACGGCTGTAAGTGAATTTGGCGTGAATTTGGTGCGTGTTTGTGAATTTCTAATCCCAAGCAGGGATCTTAATCAGGTGCAACTGACTAGCTGCCTGTCTCCCCCGACTGTCTAACATGGCTGCTTAATTCCGTGCAGAAACTAAAAATAAGCTTCCCTTCTTCAAAGAGCCTAGACATTATTTAAAAGAAGAAGAAGAAAATATTAATATAAAAACAAAATTAAGTACCGAATCGGACTGCTCTGATAAGAAGCTTTAGAAATTTGGCTTCATTTCTGAACTGTTGAGTACAATCTACCAAAAGATGAACACACAGACACACACACGCAGACACACACAGACACACACACGCACACACATATACATATCTATATGTATATTGCTTTATTCGCTTAATTTATTTTCTCTTATATTTTTCTCTTGTTTTTCTATTATTTATTTTCTTTTTTCTTTTTTTTTTTTTTCAAAACGAGCAGATAGGTATACCTATCACCCGGTTCACACCTCTTCCAACGTCTATTGAACAAAGGTAGATGTTTATTCATTGTTTCTTGTTCACGATTGGGATTTTAGTTCCTTCTAAAGTTTTCTCATCCTATTTCACTGCCAGTAACCTATTGCGTGTTAGTGGCATCATCGCCTTGTTTCGGATAAAATCATTACAATAATTATATATATCATTACAATATATATATATATTTCCGGAATTTGTCAAATTTTCTCAATTACAAAGTGGCCTTTTAACTTTTACTTTCCTTCGTCCCATCTCTCTCTCCCACCTCGTCTTTCCCTCCCTCTTATTCTAACATTAGATTGTCTATGGTGTGTGTATGTCACCACGAAATGTATCTTTATGCATTAGACATCCGACAACATTCATTCTTTTCTCTTAATTAAACCCCTTCCACCCATCTCTCCTAAAATTCTCTCTGTTAAGTTTTAATCTCCCTCCTCCTCATACTTACACTCTCTCTAAATTCTGTTTTTATTTCCGGAGTTGTTTTTTTCTGTTTTCTTTTTGAATTTGTAGGTCTGATGAATTGGATCGTATTTACGTATATTAGTGTTTAAGCCTTTTTACTTTTATATATATATATATATATATATATATATATATATATATATATATATGTGTGTGTGTGTGTGTGTGTGTGTGTGTGTTACACATATATATGGACATTGAGTAACCTATTGCGTCTTAGTGGCATTACCGCCTTGCTTCGAATAAAATCATTACGATATATATATATATATATATATATATATATATATATATATATATATGGACATAGAGGTCAACACCCAGTGGCGAAAGTCTGTTTCATGCTAAACGCAATCGTCCTGATGATTGCGTTTAACATGAATGGCAACTGGTCCAAGAGAAGGGCAACTCTGAATTCAAAACCTGTGGAGGGTTGTTTGGGGACCTTGTGGCACATAGTGCACCAGGTCTCTGTATTTGGCCCTTCAAAAAGTGTGGTTGGTTCTGCACAAAGCCTTCATCTCTATAATCAAATCATGTGCTTGTGTCTGGCTGGTTGACCCTCATAAGTCGAATAGGACGAGAGAATCCACCACATATATATATCTAATATTTAAAAATATATATCAGATGTATATTTGTATTTAAAGTATATGTAGCTGTTTGTATTTGGTAGGATGTAAGTGTATATAATGTTTTTTTTTTCCTGACAGTACCCTACGACAATCAGATTTCAATCAGCAGCCGACGATTACTTCGTGCATGAAACTCAGTATTGTGCTACCAGCAAAGAAAAAAAAAATGTAATTTGTTTTAGTATATATTTTAGCTCCGTTATCATACATCACCCACTGTTTTACTAACCTCAGAACTCAAATTTTGATACTTACACACACACACAGATATATATATATCTGTGTTTGTGATAATGATATATATATTTTATGTATCAAGATCAATATTAGGAAAAAAATGTATGAAAAAATGAAAAAGGTATTCTAGTGACACGTTTCGTCCTTTTAAAGCTTGATTGGACTAATTATTTTGTTAGTGGGACTACACAATCGCACGAACGAAGAGTGCTGGAAATTTTACAATTTTAATTTATATATGTATGATGGCCTCTCCCATCGTTTTCGACGTATGATTGTCTTTCAGTTCCGTTTTTATGTTTAAGTTTCGAAAGAGACAACAATCTTGCACGGGATTTGCAAACGAATCCACACGAAGGACATGCCGAAGGGTTGATCGTCATATGCGCTGATGTATTAGCCCGAGATCTAGGATTAGTTCTTAATTCTCTCAGATGGTTGAGTCGATTCTTTTCAAAGTTAGTTATACCACGGGAGCAGGTATTTCTCCAGTTTGTTCGGTTTTCAACAGCAAGTTCGGACTCCTCTATAGGGATTGTTTGCAGCAATTAAATTGTTTTTAAATTTATCCTTGAAGCGTAACCAAGCGCGGCCTACGCTAAGTTTTCCATGAAAAAGTTATCTATATATGAGGATTTTCTGCATCCGATCATCACTCATTCTGATGACATGACCAGCCCATCTGAACTGTGATTGCATCAGAAAGGATTCAATACAACCGACACCACATTTGATGAAAGGTTCAGGGTTATAGATTTTATCCTGCCGTGAATAACCGCATATTGAACGAAGACAGCGTTTATGAGCATATATATATATATATATATATATATATATATATATATATATATATATATATATATATATATATGACAAGCGAGAAGTGAAGAAACTTAATCCTACATTTCCCAAGGGTATTTTCGCAGATTTGAACTCAACGAACTCGCCCTAGATTTAAACCCAGTTTCCAGCCTGATAACCACTACGAAAGCTTGGCATAACTCTATCCAGTTTTCATACTAATGTAATAAAAATTCAGCAAACTTTTATGACGAATTCAGTTTTATGATGGATTCAGAGAACGTACCATAATTGGTTTCATTCCAGATCAGTATTTCCGTTTCGGAAAACTTTATCTTGTGTCCCATTTCTTGAAATATTTGGTATAATATATATATATATATATATATATATATATAGTATAGTAAGATAATGAAGGCTTTGGTAAGGTTGTCTCTTTCTTAATTTAACTTATATATGTGTGTGTGTGGAGGGTGAATTATACACACACACACACACACACACACACACACACACACATATATATATATATATATATATATACGGATTTGACAATGGACATATCCCAGTTTAAGCTTTCCCTTTCTTCTTCAAAGTAGATTCCTAGAACATGTATAGAACGCACTCCTCATAACGCAAATGTGTACACGACATTCTGTTCAGAGGCAACGTTCTAATTCTGATCTATTTAACTATCTATCTATCTATCTATCTATCTATCTATTTCAGTCTTTTCATATCTATCTATCTATCTATCTGTGTCTTTTCATATCTATCTCTGTTCTTCATCTATCTCAGTTTTTTTCATAAGTATCTATTACAGTCTGTTCATATATATGTATCTATCTCCGTGTTTTCATATCTATTTATTGATCGATCTATTTCAGATTGTTCATATCTATCTATCTATCTATCTATCTATCTATCTATCTATTTGTTTCAGTCTGTTCATATCTATCTATTTCTGTCTGTTCATATCTATCTATCTATCTATCTATCTCAGTCTATTCATATCTATCTATCTATCTATCTATTCATATCTATCTATCTATCTATCTATCTATCTATCTATCTATCTCACATCGGAATCTCACCTACTAATTGAAAACAGAAGTAAGTTCCGCTGAAGCAGCTTCTTTCTACGAACAACTCCTCGATCAATACAATTTTAACCTGTTCAAGTCTAGGATTCACTATTATCTTCCCCTACATACCCGCATAAACTGTAATCCTCTACCTCGAGTGGCTCCAGGGCCTTATACATCACTGGAAAAAAAACAAAAAAAAACAAACGAAGATATTTCACTTCATTTGGCTTTCAACTTGTTCATTCTCTTCGGATATCCTTATATGATAAACATTTTACAAAAATGTAAAAAAAACCTGCACATCGTCTTAAATTTATGCGATATTTATATGTGACAGGAAATACGATATTCTCTCCCAGATGAGCCGTAAAATTAAAATAAAATGAAATCTATGTCTAAGGAAAAAAAAAACCTTGTCATTTTTTTATATCTTGCACGAATTTAATAGTGGTTCAACCTCAGTAGACCTTTCCGCCTTTTTTTCTTCCTTCAGATCTCAAACGATTCGTTCATGCTCTGCTCGTAATCGTTTTTTATTGGTTAACATTTCCAGTGATAAATTTGATCGGTCAGAAAAAGTTGTTCACTGTACTTTTTAGTGTCTGGGGACATCTAAGACCAGAGATCGAGGAAGAAAGTAAGTGGCGCTCAATGATTTGATTTGCGCCCAATTCATTCATTTCTTATAGAAAACGCGTGAACGAAATTTGCAGACGCAAGTTTTGCCGCTGCTTGAAATGCAGCTCAGCCTCTGATGGTAATCAAAGGACGAACGACAGGCCAGACAGAAAATGAGCATTATACTGAAGGTACAAAAGGTCAAATCGTTCTATCAGCAGCTCAAGAAGAAACGATAAAACTGCCCTAATTCAGTTGTATCAGCTAAGAATCGTACATTCATGCATAAAAACTATTGCACGAATTTATATGAAATATTCCACGAAACTTTTATGCGACGGGATTGGTCGAAATCATGTTTTTTGTTGTCTTTCTTTCTAGACAGACGAGGTTCTAAATAACCAACAAAGATAACCCTAAAAAAAACGTCAGTTTGTCAAGTGGAATGACTGTTAAAACGGCCCATTATATGACAAGTAGGTAAGCTTGAAAGTTTCTCACTTATGTACGAATACAGGATGTTGATAAACTATCTTCCACAATTTATTGTGTCTATTAATGTTAAGTTCCATCAATACGCTTCTTTACATGTATAAGAAATATTATTAAAGTTTTAATGTATACATTGTTTTGTTATTTTTTTAATTCACTTTCATTTGTCTTAAAACAAAGAACTATACAAAATAGCAGAAAGGACATCACTTGAGAACTACCAAGAGTAGGAACAACTAAAATGGATAGCACATAAACAAAATTAATGATACAATGAAGATGTTGATATTCCACACTATTCCAAATATAAGGTTAGGAAGGAAACGCCGCTCAGTAATGAAGAAAAAAAAATCGATAACTACTGCACTTGATAAATCTAGTTTCCTGAAACATTGTTTTAAGAAAATGAATTTATAAATTTCAAATGAAAAAAGTACTCGATCAATGAATGTCAAATGTTTGTGAGATATTTAAAGCCGAAATATATTTTGAGTTTTAAGACAATTGATTTTTGGGAATGAATACTGCAATAATACTTTTTAGAGGAATAACTATGATTTTTATAGATACAAATCTTACTATTTAACTCAGAGGTGTGGAGAGGCAATGGATTCATACTTTTCTTAATGGCATTTTCGTCAAAATGAATATAACAAATCCAACAGGAATTTGAACTTGGCTCCCCAATTTCTTATTAAGAGCCGCTATACATTACACCACCCGAATATCAAATTGATAAACAATGGAATTCCAAAAGACTGTACAATTCTTATCAGAATATCTTCTACTACTTTCCATGTACATACACTAGTCAGGTCAAAATTGGCATTATTTCAAACAAAGAACTGTACCATATAACATAAACGACATCACTTGAGGACTTTCAACAGCAGTAACAACTAAAATGGATAGAACATGTAATTCGAAGAAAGAATAACGATATAATCAAGAATCTGACGTCTGACACTCCAAGACAAAAGTCAAAGGAAGGAAGCCCGCATCCATACTGGAAAGAACTATAACTGCTACTGGGCTTGATGAGCCTATTTTCCTGGAAAATTGTTTTAAGAGAATGATTTTATAAATTTCAATCGACATCAACAATGTCTGCTTGTTCGATGAATGCCAAATGTTTCCTTATAGGGAAACGGCTATTATTAAACTTATCATTACCATCCAGGCTGTTTTTCTCATTGTGTATTATATTTGAATACAGTCAAGCCATTTGTTGAAAATTGGCAATCAAGTATTTTTTTTTTACCTTTGAAAATAATGCAATAACAATTTTTGGAGAGTAACTATGATACAAGTCTTACTATCTAACCCACGTGTGTGGAGAGGCAATCGATTCATACCTTTCCATTTTCAACTAAGTGAATGTAACGAATCCGACTGGAATTTGAACTTGGCTCCCCGATTTCTTATTTAGAACCGCTATACATTACACCACCCACATATCTAATTGATAAACAATGACATTTTACCCGACTTGATGAACCTATTTTCCTGTAAAAATTGTTTTAAGAGAATAATTTTAAAAATTTCAACTGAAAAAGTTATACTGACTGTTCGGTCAATGAATGTCAAAAGTTTCCTTATAGGGAAACGGGTAATATTACCGTTACCGTTACTATATTCTTCCGTTGGGCTATCGTTGCCTTTCTATCAGATTGAACCAGTTTAGCCCCCTCCCCCGCCCACAGGAATGCTGCTTAAGGGATTTTCTTTCTTTTTATAACTGTTCTCTGTGAACGCTTTGATCTTATTAGATCAGCAGTTACTGAAATACCCAGAGAATCCCGTGTGACACCAGCGAACAAAATCACTTAAATTGCCGTTCTTTGCTGTACTAATGCATGAAACAGAATTCAGCGTGTTGTCATGGCTAGCTTTAAATGCCTCTAACCCTTAAACTGCTTCCATGTCATTAGCTGATTGGAAACTTGCATGAAAGAGCATTTGTTCACATGTACTTAATTTAGTGACTAGTGAACGTATATATGTACGATGGGGCGGTTATCTTCATCCTTAACCGCTTAACTCGAATAGAAAAATTACATAATAATGATATTAACATTCTACACTACTCAAAAAAAACTGCCTATCACTATTAGAAAGAGCGATAACAGCTACTGGACTTGATAAACCTATTTTCTTGAAAAATTGTTTTAAGAGAAAGATTTTATAAATTTCCACTGAAAACTGTGCTTTCCTTATAGGGAAACGACTAATAGTACAATTACCATTACCGGTAGATGTTAAAAGTCTTTATTATTGATACCAGATTTTTTTTTATAAAGATAACAAAAACACAAGAGGAAGCGTAAAGTGCATCGTGTACGATAATTAATGGACACCTTAAATAATTATTTTGACAGTAGAACAACTAGAGAAACATTACATACTCTTCAAATCACCGCACCGTGGAACGATGGTCAGCAAATATCGCAAAAGAGTTCTAATTCCAGTCGAGTTCGTTATATTCACTTAGGCGCAAATGCCTTTAGGAAAGTTATGAATTCACCTCTTCTCACCCCAGCTATAGGTTAATTAGTAGGACTTTTATAAGTAAATTATTTCCAAAATATTCTTCCAATCATAAATATATTATCTAGCTTTAAATATCCTTCAAAGGGTTGATCAGCCGAAAAAAGATACCAATTCTTGAATTTCCTGCCTTTAATCTTTTCATCTTTCATAATATTTCCTTCTTTCTTTCTCTTTCTTTCTTTCTTTATCTTTTTTCTTTCTTTATTCATTTTTCATTCTTTCTTTTATTATTCTATTGCCTTTACTCTATTCAACTTTCATATTCTTTCTTTCTTTCTTTCTTTATTTATTTATTTACTTTTTTATTTATTTTTTCTCCTGCATTTACTCTTTTTATCTTTCATTTTCATTTTCTTTCACTCTTTCTTTCTCACTTTCTTTCTTTCTTTCTTTCTTTCTTTATTTATTTACTTTTTTATTTTTTTATTTATTTTTTCTCCTGCATTTACTCTTTTTATCTTTCATTTTCATTTTCTTTCACTGTTTCTTTCTCACTTTCTCACTTTCTTTCTTTCTTTATTTATTTATTTATTCTTTCTTTCTTTTATTATTCTCCAGCCTTAACTCTATTCAACTTTCATGTTCTTTCTTTCTTTCTTTCTTTCTTTCTTTCTTTCTTTCTTTCTTTCTTTCTTTCTTTCTTTACTTTACTTTACTTTACTTTACTCTTCGTTGTTAATCTTCATATTATTAAAAGTTCTGATCAAGTTATTTTTCTTCAAGCTGAACAGAATCCCCACTTTGTGTAATTTTATGTTTCTTCATGATAAATTTCATCGAAGCGACCAATTCTCGGGTACCTCAATTGAGAAGAGAACATACAATTTTGTTCTAACAACCCTTTTCACTATTGACGCTTCCTATGAGATTTCTTTTCAACCCTTAATTGCACCTTCTTTTCAACCCAAAGCTCTCTCACTATTCATGTCCAAGTTTAGAAATGATTGTTCTTTTTTTTTAAATTTAGTTTCACGCAATTATCATGAAGAAATAACACCTGCTAATTCATGTTTTTCACCTGGGCGACAAAAGTTTAATTGAATACACTGCCACTCCTCTTCCTAGAGGAAAGATGTGGGTCATATCTTTTGTCACGACTTATGCTGTTAGCCATTTTTTTCATCTTTAAAAAGTCAGTGGTTTCGCAATTGGGGCCTTGGGTATTCTTTACGAAGACCATGAATACAATTGTCCTCTTTTGATGAAGCTTTCGGTAATCCTTTTTCCCTATGAACAATCAGTCTTAATTCTAATAGGAATCTACTTAGAAGACTGGCTACGCGTGTGTGCTTCCAGCATTATCTTATAAGGATTTGGTATTATGTTCAATAAAAAATGCAAAAAAAACACACACATGTTGCTTAAAATGACGCAATACAATATAAAAACATACAATAGGATATAACCATGTTCAGGTTACATTTTAATGTGGCGACAGGTTTTAGCGGAGAATTTATTTAGTGAAAGTGAAATGCAGGTGAACACACGCGCACACAATGGATATTTTCTAAGTTTAACTTTGTGTGGAATCGAGACAAATGAACTGTGTTCTACTAGAGGAGAATATAGAAAATACGTAGTTAGCATGTCTTAGATGAGAAAAGACAGGCATACATAGATACAAATGATAACTCGGAAGACAATTACTATATATATATATATATATATATATATATATATATATATATATATATATATATATATATATAGATAGATAGATAGATAGATAGATAGATGATAGACCTAGTGAGCCAGACAAACCTACCTAGGTTTCACCTAAACTGATCGTCAGGAAAGTAAGCCTTACTTTCCCTGACGATCCGTTTAGGTGAAACCTGTGTAGGTTTGTCTGGCTCACTAGGTTTATCTAGGTCTGCTCTACGGTTGTATTGAGCGCTTTTGTTAGTTAGTTGTTTACTCGTATCGGGGTTTTTTTTCTTTGGGCTTCAGACCTGCATTTGTGCGATTTTTTTTTGTCGGCAGAAGTTCATGCTTGTAGCTTTTTCTCTTTTTAAAACTTTTTTTCCCTCGAGATTGATTTGATTATTAGCAAATCAAAAATTCGAGGCTTTTTCGAAACGAATCTAGTTATCTATCTATCTATCTATCTATCTATCTATCTATATATATATATATATATATATATATATATATATATATATATATATATATTATTTTAATATTTATACTCGGTGTGAAAAAAAAACAGATAATAGAATTTGTAAATAAAAATATTAAACAAACCGTTATCAGGGGAAAAAATCAGTAAAAAAAAAAAAAAAACTAAAAACATCCGTGCCGGTTGAAAATAATTAATCAGTGCCTCAATGTCTAGCCAAAAGAAAAAAAAACACCGATAGAGTAACTTAAGGTACAAAATAAAAATGCTCAAGACACTGAGTAGAGCAAAAAAAAAATTGCAAAAACACCGTTAAATTGAGTCATAGTTGTTTGCCTAACGTTGCAAATTTCATTAATAAATGCAAAACTAAAAAAGATTAAAACTAAACAATATATCAATTCACACAAATGCAACTGCATCAATAAAGCAACTTGTCCCCTTATGGGTAAATGCCAAAATGAATGTGTCGTATATAAAGTAAAGGTATTTGGCAACAAATCTAATAATAGTCGTAATGATAAAAAAAAAATTGTGGATTCAGTCCAAGTACCATTTAAAAAAACGATATTATAACCATAGAAGTAGATTCGAATATGAGATATATAGGCATACGACTAATTCATCTAATCATGTGTGAAAAATGAAAAAGGAGCAAAGCATAGACCTCATATTAAAATGGGAGATAATAAAAAAAAATGTCGCAAATATGAGGCTGGCGATAGGTATTGCGTCCTATGGATGGAGGAAAAATTAGTTATAGCCACTTATAATAACTCTAATATGTTACTGAAACAGAGATCGGAAATTCTCAATGGTTGTAGACAAAAAGTCTGGTTACTTGAATAAAAGAATAGTTGGTTTTGGGAATTTTTTTCTTTCGGGCGGCCGTTTTTCCAATAAAATATGTTTTGGTTTACCCTCTTTGTTTTATTTTTCTTGTTTTTGTATTTAAGCTATTTTTTAATTTTTTTTTCCTGGGGACCGTTTTTTCCAATAAAATGTCGTTTTGGCCAACCCTTTTTAACCAGTGTTACCTTGATGATCCATTAGATGAAACATAGGTAGGTAGGTAGTTTCTGGCTAATTAGGTTTTATATATATATATATATATATATATATATATATATATATATATATATCAAGTATGTGGTGCAATTCAATTTATATTACATGAATCATTCATACATAAAACAGATATAGGAGTTAACTTCTATATCTGTTTTTTGTATGAATGATTCATGTATATATATACGTGTGTCATTGTATATATATATATATATATATATATATATATATATATATATATATATATATATATATATATATATATATATATATATGTATGTATGTATAATACAAACTAAAAGTATCGAGACCATTCCTATTGTAACGGAGCTATAGTACGCAGAGTGAAGCTGCTTGGCACAGATTGACTTTGAACATTGTCGAATATACACACTAAGTTACAACATTCTCACTCACTTCTGTTGTTTTTAGCATTTATTAGAAGGAAAGGGTGTAGAGTGTGGTTATCTCACCACACCCAAGCGGTTCCATCAGTGACCATGACCCGTGTAGTAGTATTTTGGGCTAAACCAAGTTCGACAACCAACTTATACCCAAGAAAAAGCCTGTTGCGACTTTTCCATCTTCAAACATCAAATTCCACTTGAAAGGAACAAGATTTCAAGGCGTCAAGGAAATCCAAGAAAATGCTACCAGACAATTCCAGGAATACTTCCATCAATGGAAACGGCGCTGGATGAAATGTGTGTCTATTTATAGTACCAGACCCGATCACAACACGTATACACACACACACACACACACACACACACACACACACACACACATATATATATATATATATATATATATATATATATATATATTAAATCATAGCTTAAAAAAGTCACAAAATGAGAGTATCCTGTTGAGTAATGAAATCAGTGTTTTGAAATCAAACATCATCAAATTCGTACGTGCAGAGACACACGCACATTTTATGACTGGGTCAGATAGATAGATAGATAGATAGATAGATGATCTGACTGAGATAGATAGATAGATAGATAGATAGATAGATAGATAGATAGATAGATAGATATGGACAGATTGAGATAGAAAGATAACTCTTTCATGAGCTTTCGATCCTTAGCTAAGATAAATTAATGATGAACATGTCATTTTCGTTTATGATCGATTTCATGACGATTCTTCTGTTAAGCTTGGGGATTAATTATACATTATTATTGCTCAAAGTAAAGTCCAATAGTGTGATAAAAACCTCGGAGAATTCCAGTAAGATACCTTTAATCATTTCTAAGTTACAACGGTTCAAAGCTTAATCTAACAATTGGACAATTTTGGTGTTACACGATTTGGACAATTTTGGTGTTATACCGGTATATATATATATATATATATATATATATATAGATATAGATATAGATATAGATATATATAGATATAGATATATTATATATATATATATATATATATATATATGAATATATATATATATATATATATATATATATATATATATATATATATATATATATATATATATATATGAATATATATATATATATATATATATATATATATATATATATATATATATATATATATATATATAAAACATATCTTTAGGTTTGTTACGCTGTCTCTTGCGTATGCGTGCTTATATTTGTGACTATTGTGGTCACGTAATCGAAATTTGTGGTTGATCTCACCAGTTTTATTGCTGCTGTTACAGTGTTGACATCGTCGCTCCCCTTTCAGTGGCCATTAAGGCAGAACAAAGATTCATATTCACCTGACCGATTGTTACCTTTTTCGATCGCTTCAAAAGGGAATGGGTAAAATATTTCTAGAAATAAAAAGCCAATTCAAGAATGTTGAACACATTTCACATCAAAAACTCGACAATTCATTGCGAACAATGGCGAATGTATATCTTTTAATCATTTCACCCATAGCAAGGCTATAATGCCACTAAGATACAATGTGAAGTGCAAGAAAATGAGAAAGCGTCAGTGATGAGAAACGATAATAAAAGCACTGAGTTCAAGGAGACAGAAAATGGCGATTGATGTTGCATTTAAAAATTTTCGTAGCAGGGCAGCAAGAAATCGGTGTGAGTTCCAAAGTGAGAAGTGTGAGAGAAGAACCTATCAGAATAGAACATACGGTTGCATCTAGCTATTTCAACAGTAAAATGATGAAATACTTTAGCCAATCTCATAGTACGCTTAAATATATGCCGTCGAAGCAAAATTGAATAAAATTTAATTGTAGCACATTTTTTGAAGAATAATTTGATAAACAAAAGAAAAAATTATTTATGACTCAATCCAATATATTTTTCTCCCGCCTTGTGCGTAAAATGATTCAAGACCAATTGCCGACGAATCCTTATTGGAGGGAGCAAACAGTAAATCAATTGTATTCTTGACTTCTCAGCAAGTGCTCAGCCCAGATCAATCCGCTCACAACGTGCAACAATGTTTATTCCAGTATTTACATTAGTCGGACTATTGTCCTCATCTTTGTCGCCATATTTGTCACAACGTTTCGGCCGTTGTACGCTCCGGCCTTCTTCAGGTGGTTGGAATTTCGAACTGAACCCTTTATTTCGCTCACTGGGGTAGACTGTTCTAGTTCCACGTGCCATGTTTGATGGATGTCAGTTATCAGTTATCTCCTGCTAATTTCCCTCTGAAAGTTCTCCACTGCCTTAACCAGGAATTGAACTCACCTTTATCCACTGTGCCATGTGTCCTCAAGGACACATGGCACAGTGGATAAAGGCGTTGGTTAGATCCAGTGACAGACCCAAAGAAGGTGAGTTCAATTCCTGGTTAAGGCAGTGGAGAACTTTCAGAGGGAAAATTAGCAGGAGATAACTGATAGCTGACATCCATCAAACATGGCACGTGGAACTAGAACAGTCTACCCCAGCGATCGAAATAAAGGGTTCAGTTCGAAATTCCAACCACCTGAAGAAGGCCGGAGCGTACAACGACCGAAACGTTGTGACAAATATGGCGACAAAGATGAGGACAATAGTCCGACTAATGTAAATGCTGTACATAATACCTCATCCCAGAAATATAGACAGAATGTTTATTCCATATTTTATGCGCCAAATTTCTGGCTGCTATATTGCAAGTAATATTTTACTCATATGTTCGTAACCTCAATAAATGTCTTACCTTTGCTAGAGTGTCCAGTCGTTCTCTGTCCGAGTCGCTCGTGGCTAGGACGGCGAATAACTGTAGCAGATTCTTACTTGGAGTGATAGAAATGTCCAGGTAACGGTTGAAGGCCGTTCGCAATGTACAAATTGGGAAACGTTCAAAACCTGTCCAGGACTTTGCAGGGCCTGTAAAACAAAAGTGAGTGAATATTTCATTATTGATTCAATATTATTGATTCAATATTATTGATTCAATATTGTTCTTATTGTTGTTAAGCTTGAAACAAAAAAAAAGAACTTATTTGAATCTTCTGGGACGCATAAAGAGGAAAGAGGGCTTGGCGAATTCAACACTCATTGGACATATTGAAATCTAGAGGAAAAGAGCTAGTAGCTTTCCAAACGAGCTTGTGTAAATAGCAGGACAGTAACTGGGAGATAGTAAGAAGATAGACATTAGCATATTTTTTTATCATTTTCACTCCATGTAAGGAAATAAAGCCACTAGGATGTAAAGGGGTTACTGAGTGTTAGAGAATATGAGAAAATGTATCAAGGAGAGAGGAAAATAAAAGAATTAAGACAGAAGATAACAATTCTTATTGCATTTAAATTCGATATTCAAAATCAAAGTTAACTGGGAAGCAAGGAGGCGGAAAAGAGTTCCACAAGCAAGAAGTGCGATAGAAGAAATTGTTAGGATTGTTACGAATGGAAGTTGTGGAAAGCCATGATAGCTTACGTCCTGAATAGGCATGGTGCATAAACGAAGATTGTTAAGTTTATCTTGATATTCATATTTGTGAAGTCGTAACGGTTATCGGAGAGGAAAATGGATTCAGTATCGCGGTTTCAAATTCCGACCAAGACAGTTATAAAATAATCGCAATATTTTGTTATTCTGTAATTTTTACTGTAATCGTGACTACGTTTTTATTCTTCTTTATGTGTTAATCTTTCATACGTACGATCACTGGGGTAAGCAACGTCAAGCCTGGTTAGTACCTACATGGGTGACCCCTTACGAATACCAGATGCAATAAGCTTGGATGTGTGTGGTATAATAATTGTTAATCGGAGAGTCGAGTTCTAATTCCAGTTGGGTTCGTTATATTCATTTATGTGCAAACAAGTTTGGCAAATGTATGAATCCACCTTTTCTCCCTCCAACTATGGATTAATTATTAAAATGTGTATCACTAAACTAATATTATTTTCAAAAAAAGTAAAACTGCGTACAAAATATTCAAATTTCAGCAGATGTGTTGATATGCCGCTAAACCAAAACAACTAAACAACCAAACAATTTTTATACATATCTTTTGAATTGACTCTGTTTTGAATATATTTCTTAATTTTAACTAAATTTTAGCTTGGGCTATACAAGATGTTTGGTTTTGTCAGAGAAAAGGGTCAACTCTATATTCCAAATTAAAATAACTTTCTCGTGACCAAAACATGCATATACAAATATTGCAAACGATCCCCTTTTGACGACAGGTTTATGTGGGTAGTATAACGATTATCAGCGTGGAAAGTGGTATCAGGGAACCGAGTTCAAATTCCGGCATAATTCTGTTGTATTCACTTTCGCACTAATGCCCCTAGAAAATACGTGAATACGTTTCTTTCCCCCCAACTATGGGCTAAATAGGTATGTAGACCAGGCCTTTCGTTTCAGCCTCTCTGTTATGAGACTTTACCTATAATAACATAATGGACTAGCCCATACGTAATAAATACTGCGCCTCAAGAGGAAGCAGGGAGTTCCGTCTGAAGTCGGGCGACTGGCTGATCGGCTGATCGGTTGAACTCTCTGCCTTCGGGCGGGGAGGAACCCGAACGAGGCTCCGCCGAAGGGCGGAGTCTCTTTTGGGGTGGTAAACCGACCCTGAACTCGTTTATACGGGTTCAATGGGCATATTTTTGGCCGAGCCCACGGGCTCGGAGATCTCCCGTTAAACCGACCTTGTGCCACATGATGCCCTCGTGGTGGGGTGACTAAATACCGTTCCGTCTGAAGTCTGGAATGAGGTCTGAAGTCTGGAGTGAAGTCCGTCAGAAGACTGCCAGTCAGTCAGAGCGAGTGAGTCAGTCAGTCGAGTCAGAGGCAGTCCGTAAACAGAGTCGCGTTCAGACTATTACTACTAAACCTGATTGTTTGTACTAACACTTTCTACTTCTCTGTATCTATTCCTGTTTGTAATATATCTGTGTTATTCCATATTCCGTGTTCGAGTTCTTCTTTGTTGGTTCTACCTTGGACTATTACCGTGGTACAAGGAACCGGACCATAACACTCTCTAGAAGAAAAACTTTGGCGAAGGCAAAGGAAACGCACTCTACAATAGTTTTTATGGACTTCTACGAGTAAGTAGAGAGCCATTCGCCTATATCTATTATTATTCTGCATAAATATAAACTATATTCCTAGTATTGCATAGTACTGCGTTTAACCATAAACTGCATCCGACAGCAAGGCCTCTGATCAGGAGATTGGAGGTTTTGGGAAAGCGTGGAAATGTTCGCAGGTCCATCCTGACCCCGGAGCAGTAACACCTGTTTGGGTCTCAGCTATTGGCAAATAGTGAATCTCAAACAAAAACAAAACACTATGAAAGTAGCAAAAATACCAGAAGTACATTTTTATATTAAAAAAGAATTGCATCAGTATCTGTTTAGAGTAAAATTAGCAACAATACATTTTTGGCGCAAAATGACTAACAATACATTTTGTAATAGAACTATCATCAATGCTTTTTATCTGAAGTTGAAAGGATACGATTGCGTTTAAAATATATTTAATTCGAGCCATAAAATGGCGTTTAAATCATTTCAATTTGGGCATTGAATAACCCATAAATGTTTTGATATGATGCGAAACAAAATCAGACAAAACACGGCATAATTGTAACACTATAAACATTTTTTTGTATTGGGGTGTATAAACACCCTACAGGGGGATATTCATCTCAGAAATTCGAGGTTACTAACGCAGGGTTAAAGAATGAACTCCTTTATCAGATATTATTGACTCAGATTTACAAAGAATTGTACCAAATAACAAAAGGGAGCTCAAAGTAAATAGCAGGGACACCGGGTCATATGTGGCAGCAATATTCTAATAGTAGATATATAAATAGATATGTAATATAGATTCTGGAGAGAAAATTTGTCTCGCACGACACAGTGAACCAACTTTCTTAGCAGCTGACCTAGCAATGGATTCAATATAAAATGTTACTTTAATGACAATGATAGAAATCAAACAATAAATAAGTAAAAATAAAAGTATAAAAGTATACATCAAATATATGTGAATATTTTCTATTGGTCTTGTTAAAAAAATACTTGAAACATAAATAATAGAGGAATAAATTGACTATTCTGAACCAATACTAAAAAAGTAAATAGTGGGAGACAGTGCTGAAAAAACAGGGAAATCTGCCGCTTTAGATTTTCAAGAAGAGATTGTTAATACACAAGCAATACAACGATTGATTTAGAAATGTCTTGCCAGATATGTGCATATCGTCTAAGTACTGTAAGACATTGTACTTTAATGTGCTTTAAGTACTTAGGTGATATACACATATCTTGAAAGATATACACATATCTTAAAGAAGAAAATCCGTAATCTTATTTTAGTTATCCCGTTAGCGATATTGTTGATTCCTTGTCTAATTCGAACGCTTAGATTATTCATACAAAACAATCCGATGTAAATCTGCGACTTATCAGTCGAGAAACGCTCGCTTTTTGGCGGGTCTCCATGTTGTTTTTGTAAAGCCTTCTTGAAAAGAGACACGGCATCTCGGTCAGCGTTTGTTTGTTCTGTTCGTCATGCAACGATTTCTCTCCGACATTGACGTTCTATTTTATAGTGTTTTCTTTTTGTCCTAGGTCTGCAGAAAGAGTGCATTAACAAAACAATAAAGACAAACATTCATTCATACAAGTGCTCCCGAAAGCATTTACAGTGGCCCTCAAAATCAATGTCACGGTTCAATAAAAATGAAGCTTTTTGTGGAGATAATTAAATTATAACACGATAGATAAAAGGAAAAGTAAATATTTTGATAAATTTATCTCGAATTCTTTACATCTAAATTGTTTTGATTGTTTTTACAAAGAACTGTTTGAACTACTAGGTAACCTTGACATATTTGGGAAGGATATTAGAATAATCCAGAAGTTATACTGGCAGCAAACCATGATTCTTATGTAGTTTGATGCGTAGAAAAAGAAAACAAATCACTTCCAATCCTTATAATGCAGGATATATGCCTTAAATCAAAACCTTAAGATTGCAGATTTAGCCCCAATAGTAATACAAGTCTCAAAATGACGATTTTAAATTTCATTTTTGCATACTCATTTTATTAATGATTCTTATGTGGTTCCACGCTCCTCAAAACCTCCTGATCAGAGGCCTTGCTGTTGGGTGTAGTTTAACGTCTTACCCAGGACGTCCCCAAGCAGGCTTTTACTAAATTTGAGGTATACTTAAAATTATTGGCTTGCATTTAAGCCCCAACGTTGCCCCAGATTAAATTGCCTTGCAGATAGCTTCAAGTTGTGGCTCAAAATATCAATTCATTGCCCTATCTTCATCATGCAATCAACTTTAACTAAAATTCACCGGGTCTTTTGCTGCGAATCACCCCAAGAAAATCAAACTTCCACATCTTTCACCGCAGCGACAATGCAAGTGAGCTTCTGTACTTTTCCTCCTGACATGTGACATGTCTTTATAAGCAGATTACTTTATTGTTCTTTCATGAGATCATAATATTTGATTAAAAAAGGAACCATTCTTCTCAATAGGTTCTTTAGCAAACTTCAAACAGACCTTCAACTCAATATGTTCTTTAGTAAATTATTTATTTTCTGGCTTTAAATAATCGGCAAAGACTTGACAAGACGTAAAGAACACATCAATGAATCAAAACACATATTCGTTTACGTCTTCTTCCACACTTGCTCACTTCTTTTTATGTGCTGTGTCCTTTCAGGACGTAAGTGATCATGGCTCTCCACTTAACCCTATCCCTTATAGTTCTCAATAAGTTGCATCCCTCTGCAGCCTCCCCCAAACCACGTTCTGTCATTCCACTTGCTTAAGCCCGACAGGTATGTCATGCATTTCTTTCCTTTGTCTCTCTTTCCCTCTCTTCTTCAGCTTT